CCCCATTTGTAAACCTGCCTCACTGTTCAGTCACTTAGTTGAACAATAGTTTTCCTAGAGGGGTTATTTTTGAATGCTTGGCTTTGGTTAATTCTTTTATGACTAAGATGCTATATTACTTGAGTAATATGAAGTAATTCTGCAGTAAAATGACCCAGATCAAGAGGGTTTTTAATTCTGTCAGGAAAGATACTCTCTCAATAAAGACAGGCATCATAAATTATCTAAGCTTTGGATCGGATCATATTTGGGCTGCTACTGCTTTCTTCTTTGGTGAAATTCCCACTCTGACTGAGTCTGCAAATACTATTATGTAAAGAGCACAAGGCTTGCTACCCAAGTAGAAATGTGCACATGTCCACTCACATATTAGTCTATGTTTGGTTGCCATCTGACAGGATGTTTTTAAACGAGAGGGACATTTTCAGTTCTAGTTTCAATAGGTTTCTTCATCAGCACAGCAAAGATTCACTCTTTGACCCAGAAAGTTGAAAGAAGACACCTGAAATCAAGAATCATGCAACAGAAACCAGACACATCAGCTGCAGAAGAATAATGATGATTTTTTTTTTTTTTTGGTCATCTGTTCTACTGGCTACTTAAGAGATGATAATTTTAGAAGTGTGTTTGGATCTTTAGATGCCCCAAACTCTTAATGCACAGTGATTTTTATACAGTTACATCACTCGGTAGTGAGAAATACAAAATTTTGCACTGTGTCAAGGCTAAAGGAAGAAAATAAAATAATGATCATCACCTGAAACAGCACAGGTTGATAATGTCTAAGAATCTTATTCGTATTAACCAAAATGGAGCATTTTAATTTTTCAAAACCAATTAATATTTCTGACCTGTTTAGTTGTTGAACCATTTATCTGAGTGTACATGAGAAGAGAGGACTTGACCTCAAAGTAAGAATTTTACAGAACCTTAGGAAGCTTAGAGGTGGGCATGTATTTTTTAGTTACTTTTTTCCAGTTAAACTGTCATGTCCTGTGTAACATCTCAAAAATTTTTTCTTGTAGACAAAAAGTATAGCTAAAAACAGTCCAGGGGTGCTTGTTCATCTTCCTGATGTTTGAACCCTAAACAGATAATCCTAACCTTAACTTTGAAAAATTTCTATTCTGTTTATTACCTGATTGATACTGGATATTTATGGTCAAGTTCAAATAGGTCACTTAAAAATAATTTTTTACAGATTGAGAGACATGATAACTGTGCATATGACTACTTGGAAATTCGAGATGGAACAAATGAGAACAGTCCTTTAATTGGTCACTTTTGTGGCTATGACAAGCCAGAAGACATTAGATCTACCTCTAATACCCTGTGGATGAAGTTTGTTTCTGATGGAACCGTTAATAAAGCAGGGTTTGCAGCTAACTTTTTTAAAGGTAAACATTAAAGCGTATTTTGGGAGCTGTGAACTGCTTATCACTTGTTTTTGTACTAGAAAAATTGTGACAGGATATTAAATTTATTTCTTAAGCTATTTTTACCAATATCAGTTCTGTCTCCAGCACATTTTTTTACCTAGGCATACAATTTTATCAAAACAAAACAGTAGAGGGATTTGAATCTCCTTGTAAAATATGTCCAAAGAATGAATGAACATATTCAGTGCAATTTCCTACTCTGCAGGTTCAAATAATCAGCTTAGTTTTGAAACACCTTTGAAACATATTTAATATTGTACAAAATGGTTTTCTTGACATAGTGTCATCAAATATAAAATTAAATTGTAAAATCACAAATGGGTCTTTTCTGTTAAGGTTTTATTCTTGTCTAAATGTGGTTTTTCTAATCTGTTTTCTGTATTAGGCTGCTTTATCAATTCATCGCTTTCTGTGAGAAAAAAAAAACCCAAAACAACAAAACAAAACAGCTGAGAAATCATAGTGACCAATGGCCTCACAGTCTTCCTCCAGTTTTGGGGTGTAGGTGTGTGGGATACAACTGCAGCTATACCTGCAGCATTTGGTGCAAGGGGAGCGTATGGTTCCTACTCTGTGCTGCCCATGGTACAGTGACATGGCCATGGTGACACCCGAAATACAGGTCATGCCACCAGGAGAACCTTTTTGCTCTTTGAAAAGGCACAAACTGTGTCTTTTCTTACCCTAACTTAGTTTTCACTGTAGATAATTATAAACTCAAAGACATGAGAGTGGGAGCTCTGTTTTATTCCTAAGAAATTTCTTGTCCTGGTGGAAGAAAACAGTATTTCAACATCTGAGGAATATTTTAACAATGAATCTCGTGGGTATACTTCAGAGCTAGTAGAGATAATACATTATTCCTTTCCCTCCCCCATCCCTGATGCATCTTGTTCCCTTTAATATCAGTAGAATGAAAACCTGGGATTTGAGGATTCTGTTAATCTGGTTTTGAGTATGAATTCTGGATAATGCACAAATTGATTCTGTGGGAGATAAAGTGCCCTTCAAGTGACCCTGCTGTAGATTTTCAATCTTTCTTTCAATACTTTATACAACCTTTAGATTACAGCTGCCGGAATTATTGTATGCTGCCCACAAAGTGCTTGTAAATTAGGTCTGCAGCTGTCAGTAGGTATTGTTGTAAAAAAACCCACCCAAACCCCACAAAGGACAAATTTTTATTTTCTCTGTTGCAGGTCTCCTTAGCATTTGAAAATCCTCTAGTCAGCAACCACAATGTGTTATGTAGTGCACCTTATAATGACATGCTTACAGATTTCTGGGTTGATATTGATCTGGCAATTACAGCTGAGGAAAGTAATTATTTAACACGTTTTTGCATTCTTCCCTGTCTTGGCAGAGGAAGATGAATGTGCCAAACTTGACAATGGTGGCTGTGAGCAGCGCTGTGTAAATACTCTGGGCAGTTACCAGTGCGCCTGTGATCCTGGCTATGAGCTTGGTCCTGACAAAAAGAGTTGTGAAGGTACAGTGCGTTGCTGTGTTATGGGCTCTTAAAGTTGACAGAGTGCCATCGCTTGAATGAAATGCTACACCTTTCATACGCTCTGTCCTAGCAGTGTGGAACCCACCCCGGAAAACCTGTGCTCCCTTTTAAGTAGCGGTGCCAGAGAAATGTCTGTCCACAGCAGTCATTTTCATCCAATGTGTGTCACTAATTGAGCTTTATTGGTTTTGCTGTTAGTCAATCGGGATTGATACAAAGCAGGACTTCGTACCTTCCCAAACCACTTATGAGTATGAATAGTGTAATTAAAGCAAAGTCTCCCACCGTGCATAAGGTGACAATTGTCAGCAGAGCAATGTGCCTCTGTCTCAGAATTGGAGTATTTAACGATCCCTCTGACCACCTCTGACTGGCATGTGACTGGGAATCTTGTCAGGTTTGAAGAGCAGGATCCTTTATTCTGGCTCAAAGCTTAGAGAAATCCTCCACACTCCCAGTCAGATTGCAGGCTTTTCTTGCTGGAAACAAATTCTACTTTTCAGGGTGACCAAAGTGTGTTCAAATAATCATTTGGAGAAATAAAAACCTGATAAGTGGAAGTCTGTGTAAACATAGGATTGGACTGAGATAAGCTTTTGCATTCTATACATATTTCATATCAAAGGAAAGAAGCAAAATCACTGGATCATTACACACCGATTACTGTTTGATTTTATTCAAAACCAGGAATAAATTCAGGGGTAGCAGAAATTATTCTTATGTCAGTTCACCTGGTTTTTTTGAGTAGTGAATGGAGGTTGAAAATCTGAGTGCTCAGAGTTATAATTTTCTTCAGATGCAATTCACTGGTCACCTTTTTTTTCCAATTTCCTGGCTTTAATTCATGATTTGTCACAATTTGGGTTACTTCTGCTTGGTTTCTTTGCACTTTTTATTCTTTTGCTCTTGGTTCTGGTTGGTTTTGTTTGTTTGGTGTGTGCGTTTGTGTGAGGTGCTCATAGTCGTAGACTGCAGGCGTGTTAGACTGTGGCTGTCATCAAGCTGGTTGGTTTTTCAGTTGTTCCCCCCGACTGTAATAGTGAGCACACTGGAAAATCAATTTATTTAGATGCCTGCATGTTAGGCAGTATGCAGAAAGTAAGGTTAATCTAAGGGGGGCCATGAAGACAGAGGTTTGATCTCTAGGCCTTTGATCATCAGCCCAAATTTATGTAAGGAATTTGGTTTTGTCTGCCTGCTGACCTAAGTCATAATAATAGGGAACATTGCTAGTCTTTCAGAGCACACTTCCCTCTGCCTCCAAAAAATAAAGAAGGAATACCTCCCCGACACCCAAACAAAAAAGTGATTCTGGTGAAAGGAGAAGTCACTGAAAGTAATGCAGTGCAGTCTTGGAGCAAAACCCCTGAGCTATCCCTAAAAGTGTATATGCCGTTGTTCCACACAACTAACGCTCATTGTATGTAGAAACTACTTGGGACTGCTGAATTACAATCACAGTCACCCTAAGCGTTACATCCTAGTTATAGTTTGGGAATTTGAGGGGTAACCTAGTTGTATCAATTCACATATGATGCCAGAGTGGAAGCCTCTAACTCAGAAACTCTGCCCAGTGCTTCACTATAGTGTTGACATGCACAGAAAATTGCTTCGCGGTCGTCTAATCCAAATCTCCCCCACTGGCAGCATATTCGAAAGCTTTAAGATATTTTTTTCAGTATTTCCACATTTTCCACTATTGCCTTAAGGAACAATGGAGTGACGTTGAAAAGCAGAAGTTGAAAACTAGCAGTCGTTGTCCTGACCCAGACTGGATGATTTGGGGGTACAGCTTGTCTCATCTGAGTACAGTCTCTAAACCTGCTCCTGGTCTGTTTTTAGACACCGAGGTGTGACCCAGGATCTTAGTCCCTCCACCCCAGTGAGATTACTTTTACGTGTACACTGAGAAGTCTTGTGCATGGAAAGCCAGGTGCCAGGAGGACTAGTGTGTAGTTGGATTGGCCAAATGAGCCCTGACACAGGAACTGGAGAGTTCTCCCAGGTGTTTTAGATGAAGTAGGTGTAGTGTGTGAGACCATCAGCTATTCAGGAATAGCTAGTTTTTAAAGCATTCAGCATTAGCACAGAGCAGTTGGAAGAAGGTGGAGCTTCCCCCCACCATCTCTTTAGAGAGAGATTTGTAGATGATTTCCAGTGCTGTCACAGTGCTGTAATGTATCAATGCAGCAGAGTGTGATCGAGAACTGCTGCAAATCCCATTACTTTCCTTTTTTTAAAAATAAAACACACTACAAAACAACAAAAATTCCACAGATGGAAAAGATTAATGTGTTTGTCCCTTGCTATCCAAACTGCAATCACAAGCATGGCAGTATTGCTCTGTTGTACAGAGGTGACTATTTGACATATATTTTGAAATAATAGGTATTTTCTTTATTACCTGAACATCCATGCTTCAGCAAAAGTAATTGTGACTGAAGAGTACATGACTGCTCTCCCAAAGAAGTGACCCTGTATAGGAGGTTATGGGAGGTATATACAGCTATATGAGCTGAGACAGGTAGGGCTGATTCAGGATTGATAATCAAGGCGAGAAGCTGGGGAAATGTGAAGTGCATCTTAAGTAGTCTGTCTAGAAGAGGGGGGTGTTCAAGGTCCTGGGGGGGGGGGGGGGGGGGGCGGTGAGGTCAGAGGACTTGCATGGGAAAGACTGTGAGAGAATAACCAGAGTCTCTGGAGGGAAGGGAAAAGAATGAGTGTGATAACGCCTTGTGTAGTCCTGAAACTTATCTCTGTCCACAAACCTGCAAGCTGTTCAAGATAGGGGCTGTCTCTTTCTCTTTGTTTGCACCAAGCATGATAAAACAAGATTCTGATTAGTCTGTCTTGGCATTACAGCAGTATAAGTAATGAGAGGACTGAATCTTCTCAGTGAGCTTCTGTTTATAGTAAAACGCAATTTCAGTCAAAAAATGACACTCTCCCTTTTTATTTTACAGCTGCTTGTGGAGGACTCCTGACAAAGCTAAATGGGACTATAACCACACCAGGGTGGCCCAAAGAGTATCCTCCAAACAAAAACTGTGTGTGGCAGGTGGTTGCTCCAACGCAATACCGAATTTCAATAAAGTTTGAGTTTTTTGAGTTGGAAGGGAATGAAGTAAGTAACCGTGAGCAGAGCTGCACAGTATGTTACATGCTAAACAGTTTCACAAGTGTTTAAAAATAGATATTGTCTTATAAAACCCTTGCTGACCTCTTCTACACTGACAATAACTGTAGATATTCTTGTGTTCATTTTGGGACTGTTTCTGGATTCTTTCAAAACAAACATGAAGAGAATATCTCTCTTTTTCATATCACCTAAATATATATGTATTACAAGAAATTTAAAAGAAATGTTCTCTGCAGAGTCTCAGCTGACTTTTTTTTTTATCAACAAAGTAAAACAGAGCAAATGACTGAGGCATATTGGAAACAATTCAAGAAAAGAAAATCTGGAGAACCCAAATCATCTTTACAGACTATGACTACAAAGAATATATATAGGCTGTGGTTAGTGATGGAGCAAGGGAGCATTTAAATCATTTACAAGTATCTCATGGGTGGAATATTTTAAAAGGAGCAGTACCAGAAATAAGGCACAATAAAACAACAGCAGTGTTTGAGCTGGGCAGCCCCTGGAGGCATGGGGGATCTTGTTCCCAGGTGGGGGAGAAAGGCAGGGCAGAGCCTTTCATGTGGTAAGGGCTGCTACCTGTAGTGGTGGGGGTTGCAGTGGTTTTTGGGTACGAATCAATATAATATGGGTTTCAACATCAACTTTTCAGCCTCTGTTCTGCTTCCTAGGCACTGTTCTATCATACCATTGAGTTCCTTTGCCATGCTCTAGCCATAATGTGCTGTAGCCATTGAGTTTATCTGGATATTCTTCACATGGCATTAAGAACCCAAATCCCAGGACATTATTTCTGATTAAAATTTGTAACAGCATTTTAGATATGAGGATGGAGCATCTTTTGGGCCTGAGATCTGAAGTGGCAAAAGATGGAGTTTATAACCAAGAAAGAACCCAGCCATGGCTTCTCCATAATAGCTTAAAACTATTTGCAGAGACTGCAGTGTGAGGTTTACTTTTTTTTTTTTTAATCATTTGTGGTGGTTTCTGAAGTCCATGAAATTTCAACTTTTAATTACGTATATGTTGTACTCATGTCCTGTTATCATTATTACAAGAACTGCAAAAGTTGTAGTAAAAACTTACAAATCCCGAAGAATTAAAATTTAATTACCATTTGAACAAATCAAAAAATGATTTTCCTGCATTTTCTTGGTACTTAAGCCAGATTTGCAAGGAAGATATCTGGGGTGTAATGAAGTTAAATCAGATTTCTAAGGTCATACAAGACACCTAACTTAAGCGGATATGAAAAATACATACATAATTTCTTCAACATGTAGAACTTTGATTTAATCCTCTCCTGTGGTACTAAATCTCAGCTTTATACTATTAAATAGTAGTACTAACAATGGTACCTGTGAAAATCAGAAGAAACATATATCTGGAGCATTGTGATGTATTGTCTTAGTGTGGACATTTAGCAAATGCTCTAACATTTTTTGTTATAGGAGTTTCATTTAAAACCAAATTTAATATATCTTTTCCAATATTACAATTTTAGTATTTTATTTTTTCATTTTACAATTTTCATTTTACATTAAACTTATAAAATTTTTTAAATATAGTGTAGTATGAAAGAAGTTAGACTTATCTGAAATTACATTTCATTTCTAGTCTAAACAATGAATCCATCAAAACTCAGCACTGATGAGATTGCTGAAATTGCTGGGGTGTATTAATGTTGTGAGCTATGTTTGAAAATCACATACATTGATATGAATTTATCTTACAATTAATATAAATCAGCATGTGGCGGTAACTCAAGTTTTATGAATCTTTGTGTTCTTAATATTGTATAAAAGTAGTTTCAACAGAATTGCTTTCCAACTCTGCAGCATATGAAAATTTAATCTGCGTCTGGAATGTATTACATTAGAACAATTGGAAATGTTGACAATCATTTAATATTTCATAGGGAGAGAGAACAACAAAGGCTAAAACTCCTTTTCTGTAGTTGCCCTTTAGGTCCCCTGATACTTCTTTTTTTGACTAGAAATTCCTATTTATCAAATGCATCTTGGATTTAATGGACAATCTAAGCTCTGTATGAATCCTCCTGGCCACTATTTTCTCTGAAGCTATTAGTTGCACACAACTGGGACATTTTTGATTAAATGATTGATAGTTGAGCCTAAGAAGCTTAGAAGTTTTTGGGTGGCAAGCTTTAGGTTGACCAAGGGATTATGCATTGAAAGTATTATCATGAGTAGTAGGCCTTACATAAGGCTTTTTTATTACATTATTTTACTTTATTTTTAACCTTTTAATGAAAATGATATGTGTTTCTTCCAAATTATAGCTATACTACTGTTAAAGAAAGATGTATGATTTTAGTAGTGCAGATTTATATATTTGTAAATAAAAGAACGTCTTAAATACGTTATGGTAGAAAAATGTCTTGTAAGTTTCTAAGTGAAAATTAATTTTTTTTTTAAAATCTAGGAGATACAAGCAGTAGAAAGTTTGTAGGTTCTGGGTACGTGGTTTGTAGCACAAAGATAGGTATAATTTTTAGGGTGAATGCTTCTAGATTGTAGTCTAATGTCACTGGAATTTTTTACTTTAAATTAAATGGATACTTTTAGATTAAATGGAAACTCTGCTAAGCATCTTGATATTTAGATATTAAACACAGATTAGTATCTAATAAAATATAGTTTTGAATGTAATGCATAGCATAGCTATGCCTTAGTGAACTTAAAATATTCTTACACAAAATCAGTGAACAATTGTAAGCATTTACAAACGTTTTCAGTGTCAGGGAAAAGTGAAAAAATATATTCTTAACCTATTATTAAGCAACATATACCAGTCAGAGTTCTTGCGTTTGTAAACAACTTCACACTTTTCTTTTGGTTAGCCAAAAAAATGTTTTTCTTTCTTTTCTCAGGTTTGCAAATACGATTATGTGGAGGTTCGTAGTGGCCTTTCTTCTGATTCTAAACTACATGGTAAATTCTGTGGTACAGAAGTGCCCGAAGTTATCACCTCTCAGTACAACAACATGCGCATTGAGTTCAGATCTGACAACACTGTGTCAAAAAAAGGCTTCAAGGCACACTTCTTCTCAGGTATAGAAAATTACTCTTGTGTACCTGTGAGTTCCTCTAAGCATACGCTGACTAGGTGGATTGAATACTACTATATTTAGGTATGAAAATGAGTGGCCTTTTCCCTTATAGTTTTCCTGGTAGTTTTGAATTTCTTTTATTTAGATAAGCATAAACTGCTTTCCTGTCTTAAAATAGTGTTCTGAATTGTAATGTCTGTAGAAAATACATGGAACCCATATATATACATATATAAATAACAGCAGAGGCAAATAAACTTTGAGAGATATGGAGGAAAAAAGCAAATTTACTAAGTGTTCCTACATTTCCATCAGATTTCTTTTATCCTGTTTTGTTGCTATTTTTTCAAATCCCAGTTGTAATGTGATAGGAATTAAATACTGTATACACTTGATTATTTTTTTCACTCAGGTCTCTTAATATATTGTATTAGTTATGAAATTACCATTTTGTGCTACAACATTCATTTAATATTTCTTGACAAACTGTGCACTTCTTAATATTTTGCAGGAGAACGGAAATTAAGACCTTGCTCTTGCAAGAATGTGTGCCTTTCAGTTATGAGTGTAATTTCACTGAGGCAGATCAAAGCAATGAAAGGTTATATCGTCTGAGGACATGTATTGTTGAATAAAGATAGACATGAGTGAAGCTGAAGATGTGAGGAAATATTTGCACAACAGTGGTCTCTGCAATTATCCATTGAGACTTGACTGTAATAATCTGTCTGTGGCAGGATACCACCTGGTGATAGTAGTGGAATTTTGTTTAGTGTTTTTCTTGTATGTTTATGCACACACATATGCATAGGTGTTTTATCTCATGTAAAACAACAAAACAGTCCTGTCCACCTACCCCCTCAAACTGGAAGTCATCCAGAAGCATTTTGAATTTGAATTCTACCGCAAGTTTTTTGATAACATTTAAAAATCTGAATCTGGAGAATCCTGTTTATGTTTAGCAGGTAGAAAAATGTATTACCAGGCACTGTTATTAGGATTTGTTGGCTAAAATATTTTATCAAAGATGAAATGAAATAGTATTTCATTGGTTAGCTTTAATAACTGATAACTTGACTATGACCAAGTAATAAGAATCAGTATAGATGATGTGGTTGGGAAAGTGAGGAAAATAACTGTCAAGACAAACAGTTTAGACTGTCAATGCTTTCTCATTATGACTACTGTGATGTTTTTCTTGAGCAATTACGGAAGATGAAAAACAGAGTTTCATCTCATACAAAGAAATTTACAAATATTTTACCTCCTCTAAAGCATAATTCTTTTCCTAGTAATTGCATTTCTCTGGTCATAGTCTTTCAGATCCATCTTTACATATAGTAGCACTTTTTACTTTTAAATTTATATTTACAGTAGCAAGAAGCTTTCCAGGTTTACTCGGTAAATAAGTGTATGCACATAATGGAGCATCCTCCTAGAAACACTTACACAGCTAGTCATTTCATGATGGCCTAGTAGTGAAGGAGTTGTCACATATTTTGACTTTTTTAAATATTAACATGTTCCAGTTCTAAAAATGGCCTGCAAATTGAATTTGTTGCATATTTTCAGGATTTATAAAGCTATGTCAGATAAGATTGGCAATGACAGTCTTGTAAATTGTAACCTCTATAAGTTGGAATTTCTGTTTTGTGGACATGCTGAACATTTATACATTTACAGTCAGTTAAATTTTAGTTTTCTTTAAAGTGATACTTAATTTTCACAGATTTATTTATTTATTTTGGTGTTTGTTTAAATAATCAATTAGTATTTTGAGGGGGTTCTAGGAAGAAATCAGATCAATGGGGTATGTTGGGGAAAGACTGGGTTATAATTCATGAAGTTATGGAGGTTGTATCACCAGGAGGTTTTAATCCTTCAGAATCATTAATTCCCTTGTCTTTTTCACTTCTGAATGAAATGTATGTTGTCCCCGCGCTCCAAGGTGAAAACAGTTTTTTTCCTGGTAATTTAAAAAAGATAAGTTTTAAATTACTCCATTGGTCACCAGAATAAGTTCGCTAGCCAGGGATAAGTCTGAGCTAATACGGATTTTTTAATGAATAGAAACGTATCATGTGTCCTCGATATATAAAATATCTAATCCCCTTCAAAGAAAGATCATTTGATGCAAATAATATTTGAGTCCATAAGTATATAAATCTATTGAGTGCTTCATCATGCATTTCTGCCATAATCTCTTCTCTCATTTCATGTAAGTTCAGATACTTTGTATTTTATTTTTATTCTTTCTCAATTCTCTTCCAATTGTTATAATTTCTAGCAGATTCTATTATTCTGTATTATCTGGCTTTCCCCTTTTGACAATATTTCCTGGTCAAAACAGAAACTTTGTAATGCTTGAGAGAAATCAAACTTCTGAACTTAAAGTATTTAAAAAGAGATTGTCACCTCTGAGTAACTCATCAGACAAAACTCTCATGGCTGTCAGAAAATACTATAAGTTTCTTACCTCTGAATTCCTTAGTATGGATGTCATATGCTATTGGTCTGTCAATGAACAATGAACTTGAGACTTCAACTATTTTGACTTGTGGGAGTTAATAGCTGATCACTGTTTAGCTGATGAAGTGGGGTTTTTTTGGCCTATTTATATACTCGTTTTCAGAATACAGTACTTTTAGAATGGTGTCTGTGGAGAAACAGTGCTAGTGTCCAAGACACTTGCTGGAAGGCATTTAACAGTTTTATTAATTAAATCGCAATAGAAATATGTGTAAGCATTTAGATAGAAAAAGCATACATCATGGAAAAAATCAGTAATGAGTAAAACACTGTGGTCTATTCACCAGTAAAAGGCATGTGCAGCGCTCAGCAAGAGAGACAGGTGGATAAGTCAGATTAGTTTGAAGATTAGGAACCGTAATGTGTTACTCAAGCACAGCCAAAAAACTTATTTTTTGCCACTCTTGGTGGTGAATTCTGTAGCCAGAGCTTTAGTTGAGAAAGCATGGCCCAGCTCCAGCTCAGATGACAGAAAGCAGTTTTTGGTTGGTTGGAACCCGCTGTGATAAACTGTGAAAGCAAACAGTGACATAGGGCAACAGATGACCTGCGTTATGAAGGTATTTATGTTGATATAAGACAACATGTAATTACATTTTTGACTGTAAAATGGTGTTAACAGCCAGACAGGTGCTACTGGAAAGTGAGAAAAACTTTTTTTTTCAACATTCTGTAAAATTTACATTTGATGGGACAGTTCTGAAGAAAGCTCAGTTGGGAGCTGTTGCAGGGACCTAGCTGATCTCCAGAGACACTCTTGTATGTTTATAATCAAGTTTCTTGGAAACTAGGGAGTCATGCTATATTAATTTTTAGAAGCTTTTAATGAATTTTTTTGGAATTGGATGTTAGACCTCTAACCTAAAAACTTCCAGTAATTAGCTTCACTCCCTCTCTCTCTTTCATCTGTCCCACTCTTTGTCTCTTCTATGCTTTTTACAAGACAGTGACCTACTGCAGTCTGCTGGGCCCATAAGACTAGAGGAGTGTAAAATAACTCCATGAATTTACTCTAGGGAGGAAAAAAGATAACTATAACTATAACTATAACTATATATATAAATTTTTTTTTTCTGTGATGTTTCCAAGAAAATAGCCTAATGATTTCTTTAAATCAGTCCTCGCGTAGTGGTATGATTAATACCAAGTGATAAAATGTCACTAAACTGCTTCCATTTATCATAAGTTTTAGAGTTACTTCAGTGTTTTAAATAAACACGATTTTTTGCATGATCATTCAAAACATATATGGTGTTTGTGTAATATAGGAATTAGGTTGGGTACATTTTTTTCCTAGGTGATGATTCATTGAGCAGTTAAAATAGAAAGCTAGAATGTTTCTAGCCTTAAGCAAATTTGTTTTGGAGCACAAACTCATCTCTGGTGCCATCCTAGTACGTTTTTTTTCCACAGACAAGAAAGCTGCCTGCAAAGAGAAAATTTTTGTTTTTGAATCTTGCAAGGACTTGATACAGGTCACTTCAGGCCGAGTACGTATTGTTCACAGACTGGTGGCCTCTGAGGGTCTCAGAGGTACGACCATTTGTCCTCTGAATAATTCAGTCTAACATTTTGTTGAGAATGGATCTTTCCCTGTTCTGAGTACTGAAATGAGAAAAGAAAGTATCCATTCAAAACTGGGAGACTCATTTCCATCTGTCAGCATAACAAATGTCTTTGTTTTACATGGCAAAACATTTGTTCCTATAACTAATACACGCTAATTGTTTTTTCATGAATTTTGAAACTGGGCAATCAATTTGACAGAAAGTCTGTTCTGAATTATGAAGTGTGAGGAAGGCTCATTCAACAGTTGCATCCTTGATTAACCATGTACAAGTAATTATTGTAGTTCAAATGTGTTCCAAAGCTTCTCCTTTCTACCTTCTGTCCATTGTTTTATCTCTGAGGAGGTCTGACATGGGACTGTTTGCTTATGCACTTGTCTTTTAAGAGATTGTTTTACAGAATATAAGCTTATTTAATGTTAAAATACTTTTCAGTAGTTTCGCACAGTTTGGTGGAAGATGAAAATGGACAGGGCTTTTATTTAAAATTTGTGTACCTACTCTGTACTTGAAAGCCTAGCCTGAATGCATTTTGAGCTTGCCTTCCATTTATTTTGTTATTTTGGTAGAGAACTAGAAACTAACGTTTAGCAGGGGAAATATTGAAGAGTTTTTTTCTTATTATATCTAGTTTCTCATTTGCTTGTTACTATTCTTCATCTGTAACATGGAATTAATTTATGATAGTGCTTGCTTTTGCAAAGATGAAAGATCGTAACTTTTGTTTGAAATTAAATAGATTTACTGCCTCAGTTTGGGACTTGCATTGTGGGGTGCATAAACAGTGTATTGTGGATCTTTTATGTTTCTTTCGTCATCAAAATGACAACTAGTGTAAGCCTTTGGATATATGATTCTGGGAGCTACCTATGTTTTTGACTGTTTCTTAACCTTCAAATCTGTTCACATCTGTAAAAAGCTTCCAAAAACTTTCAGTGCAAACAGATTTGAGATTTACAGAACAATGCAGTGGATGCTTAGGCTTGATTTGCAGAATTTATCTATAAATGTACATTATCATCATGTATTATGAGTAGAAGCTGATTTTTATGGAAGGACCTGCAAGTCAACAGGTCAAATGTTGCATACATTTTGGCAGATAAAGCTGATGTGTATGCAATTATAGTGCAAACTTCCTTTGTTGTGTTACTGAATATGACCATTAGTAAAGTCAGGGAAAAAATGTATGAGAGACTATGAAAAGAGCCTTAAATTACCCATACTGTCTTGTAATCTATAGAAATTCTTACTGTGCCTACTAAAGTCTGAAACATCACGTTACCTTGTTTGGAGATAACACTCACTGCTGCTTTCCAAAGTACCTGAGGCTGAAGGGGGTCAATGCGTTCCAGCCCTGCCACAACAGGACCTCTGGGATGACCACAATTTCTTTGCTCTTTTTCCTCCTTTCTTTTGCATGTTGAAATGACACATTTTGTAAGATACAGTTTCTTAATATGTCTGTGTGTTTATATATATATGTCTGTATAGGCATATGGTTTTATATCAGGATTTATATATATGTGTCTATACATATATATAGGTATATATATATGTGCATACATATGTACATGTATGTGTATATATATGTATATGTCAGGAGCAGTCTGCCTCTTTTAAATGGACCAGCCTCACCTAAAATGACAACAGCTGAATGACATAGAAGGGTGGCAGCTGAGGCCTCTTGCTAGAACGACAGCCTGTTAATCTAGTTTGGCTTTTGTCCATGCAATGAATTTGTAGCTGTTTAATGCAGGTCATGTTTCCTCCCCTACTCTCTGCTTTGCTTCTAACATACTAGAAGCTCTTTTGAAGGATTATATGTTAATAAACAGAACTGCATGCTATGTTGTAGATCTCCTTGAAATAACTAATGCCAATTGCTTTTTTATGTTTTTCAATTAAATATTTTTCATTTTGTCATGTTCTGAAATGTCCAGATTTGTTAAAAGTAAAGCACGCTGTCACTATGCTGGGGGAAAAAAAAATCAACTTGCTAAAAAAGTTTATGTTAAATCCTTCTTTTGTTACATGTTTAATGTGCAGAGCTTGAAACCTTGTTTGGCCTACACATTCCTTTCAACATGTCACCATTAAATTGTGGAGTTTGTGTGAAGTTGGAATACTTTATGTGTTGTCCGTAAATTACACTCCTATTTACTAAAATAAAGCTTTGGATGAGATATTTATGAAATCTTTACCAGCTTGACCACTTGAAAGAATAAATGGTGGTAACTGTCTTATCTCCTTAGTTTTAGCTTGTTTGTTCCTCTCCCCTAGGAATTACCTGTCATTTCCTAGAAAGATGAGACAGACTATTTGTTCCATGGTGCAAGGTTACAGGCTGAGCAATGAGTGACTAGAACTAAGGTACCAAGAAACTGCCATATTGAGAAGAGTGACTGTGCCTTAGCTTATTCTTTTCTGGACTCAAACACTGTGCTAAACCCTTTTCTTTTTGGTAATGAGGTCTACTGCTAGCTGTGATGCTTACCTGACCTTGTTGTGCATTTCTTAGACAAGGATGAGTGTTCGAAGGACAATGGTGGCTGCCAGCATGAGTGCATCAACACGGTAGGAAGCTACGTTTGCCAGTGCCGAAATGGATTTGTGCTACATGAAAACAAACATGACTGCAAGGAGGGTAAGTAGTAAGGTATTTGAACGGTTGATTATACAACTGTCTGCAGCTCTCCTTCCAAAGAAAAGAAAGGAAAGAAAAAGATCTTGGTAATGGGGGCTTAGACATCTGGACTTAAACACTCTACCATCCTCCTCTTTCCTGTCCCCTCCATCCCCAGCATTTGTGTGTGGCTGAGTTTGAGGTCCACAGGAATGCAGCTTATAAAACGTGGGATCATTGGCAGGGAGCGCTACTTTTAATAGTTCTATGAAGTGTAGAATGTTTAAAGCTGTGATAAAGTATTTATCTAATGCTGTATTAAACACAGGGATAGAGTTTCTGGAGAGAAGCCTGGTAAAGTTGTCGTTTGTTCCTGTCAGTAGCAATTAGTTTCCTTATGGTTAGGTTGAAACCCTATCTGCCTTTCCTGGTTTTATTTTAGAGCACATATTCAGACAATCTAAATTCCAGTCAAGTCCCTATGCATATTTCTTCCTATTTGCTGTCTCAAGGTGTGGCTACCTCCAAGAAAACAGTAGGCTTTGGGGCTTCAGAGGAATTTAGATTATCTGTAAATGAAGCTCAAATGTGCAACATCACATGAGCTGCTGCGATTTCTCAAGGCTGTATTCTAGCATGGGTTTAATTTGCAAGATGTGCCCTTCGTGAATCACTAGTATTTTCACTGGTGTTGGAATGACACTTGCCTGCTCTGGAAGATTCTTGTTGAATAATTCTCTGGTATTTATAAAGCAATTCCAGATAGTTTAAAAATTAAACACAAAAGCCAAAACTAGTTTCTTTCTTGCCGCCTTTGTTTTTTAGTTCTTTGTATTTATTCACAGAGATGCACTTCTAGTGATTCAGTTATGATGTGAATGACTAAGCTGTTCTTGGGACATACTCACAGTTTAGTCTTAGCTTTTCTCTGGTTGTATATATGACCCTAGAAACTGTGGTTTAGAATCAAAATGATTGCTCTGTAGCTGCAGTATTTAAATTAGCGAGGAGAAAAATAAATTGTTCAAGAAATATCATTTAAAGTTGGAGTAGAAAGATTTCTTCATATAGATTTTCATACTTACTTGTATGTAGAATGGGGGGAACAGCAAAATATTCTATTAAATTTTAATACTTATGTATATTCCTTTATCTTTTTTTTTAAAAAAAAAAAAGCCATGTATTTTAATCAACAGTATATGTTTTACAACAATCAATAAAGCATGCTGGCTTAATTGTCATAAAGCTTGTGCTGAAGGGGAGGAACGTGATAGTGCACACTGAAGAACGTGATTAGCTATCTTTCTAAATGTCCTTTCCATTCAGTGGGTCCCCTGACAAAAAAGAGTGCTTTTCTGGCTACCTCTGAATGCAAACCCCCAGACTAACTGATGCTATCACTGTTGGCACAGCTGAGTGTGAACAGAAGATCCATAGTCCCAATGGCATCATCACGAGTCCCAACTGGCCTGACAAGTATCCCAGCAGAAAGGAGTGCACGTGGGAAATCAGTGCCACCCCTGGGCAGAGGGTCAAATTGGTGAGTTTTTGCCTACCCTTCTTTTCTCTCTTTTCTTCCACCATCCTGCTTCTCAAATGACTGCTCAGTGATACAAAACTGTTACTAAACTTTACTATCGGTTTGCAGCCCAGACGTAAACTGTTTTAAAATCCTGCTGACTCCTGTCCATCCCTGGCCAGCTGGGGCTACTCAATATCGTAGAGCTGTGAGTTTAAGTTCGTGGTGATTGTAAATACTCTGGACAGCAAAGGGCAGGAGTAATACTTTCCTCCTGTCAGACTTTACTGTGTCATTGTTGCAATTCATAAAATTTGCACAAAGTTTTGACAGATGTGGCAGAGGCCATTTACACAAACTCCAATATGTAGAATAAGCAAAATTATAAATTATGAACAGTCTTCTCCACACACCTTTTGCATTTCTGCTCTGTAGTTTTTGAGGAGGAAAAGAAGATACAAAAGACAAGAATCTGGACTTCTCATTTAAAAGTGGCTCCAAATGTTAACATAAATAGAAGAGCAGCCTAAGTAGACTTAAGTGACCTTTGTGTCCAGCTGGCTGAGGACAGTGCTGGTGGCTGAAGACAGTCTAGCATAGCCAAGGTTATGTAGCCTCTGTATGAAGCCAAAGGCACAAACCTGCCCAGGGGGGTTTTCTACTCTGAGCTCCTCCCCAGTGTTCCCTTCAGCCACAGTACTCAGGGGACAGCTGCAACAAAATCTGGTCTTACATATTTTAAAATCTGATAAATCAATTTAGCAAATATTTTGGAGCAAATAAACTTGAGAGATGTCTCTGCTTCAGAGAAGTAGAATAGCTGATATTGATTTGGGGATGAAAGGGATATTGTCATCTCATAACTGCTGACCTTAGCCAAAAACATAACCCCTGTTACTGGTGCTGGTGTGGGATCATGTACTGATGATCCCTGTTCACCAGAAGTAAAATGGTTAAACTGTTCTGGGAGTGTGGCGGTGTTGGAAAATGAGCAGTGTGCATGCACTTCCATTCAAAGGGTGAAAACCAGGTTTTTGATTCAGGTGGCCTTCCTACTGTCACTTGTAAGCAAGTGTTCTTCATCCTGGCTAAATAAACCAAAGCCAGCCAGACATGGGCGTGAACATGAGTATGTTACTGTAAAAGCTTTTTCAGTACTTTTAACCTCAGCAGGTAAAATTCCAGCATTCAAATTTCTTCAGTGAAATATGACATGGTGTGTTTTAAAAGAAATGGTTTTTAATTGGCTTTTGCCAATGGAATTGGAAAAGCGAGACAGAATTTTACTGGGTAGAATTTTCAAAAATACCTCCATGATTTACAGTCTGTAATCCACATTTCTGTACAAGCTAGTAGGATTAATCTACTAAATTATGTGTGTATAATACCTTTATAGTCTGTCTAGTACAGCAAGATGCCATATCATGAATATTAATACCATACTTCCACTATGGATAAATATTTTTTTTCTTGGACTTTCACTCTGTATTTGAGTTTACTCCTCACAGTTTACTTAGTCAAATTGAACAAGGAGAGAATTGACTTCATGGTAACAAACCACATGAATTGTGAGGCTGTGCTTCATTTTTTGAGGAGTGTGTGCACAGAAACTAATCTTTTGTTGTGATTGCTCTCACTCTGATAATCATTGAAAAGTCTCTTCCTGAAACGCCTGAAGTTAAGCATTTGGTGTAATTAAGAAGCTGATGAAAAAATGGATATGCATTTCAGAGTTTTTAAATGAAATGTGTAGATAAAGATGGCTTTGAAAATGTATGTAGTAGAAAGAGCAATTTTCATAAGCTAATCAGCCGGATGTTTATATGAGACAGGCTTAAGTGTCCCATTCAGGCAGCTATCCATAAGTGCCACCAACATATCTACCCAGTTGAGTGCTATAGATAGAAAGGGCTGGATGTTGAGAAGCTGTATGTAACATTTCTGTATACCATTCCCACTAATGAGACAATCAAAATGGGGACTGTAGTCCTGGTGGGGTAGGTATTCAAACTATATGTCCCAGGAAAACAGAGTGTGATTTAATTATACTACTAACTTTATTAAATCATCTGTGAACGCTGGTGGCATCAACTGTTCAGTTATGTTCAACTTTAAGGAAAGTTTGTGTTAGTTCTTTTCTTTCAAGCCTACTCTTAGTCCACTCCTGGGAGCTGACTGCTTTTAAAAAAAATGGAGATCATCTCTGAGTGTTTTGAAATATCAGGCATTTTGAGCTTTTAAGAGACTAAATATTAAGATTTGCATTTCCTTTAAAAAAAAATTATTTTGATTCTCTTTGTAATTGCTAGAATCAATTGCTAGACTCACAACAGACTTAGGACTTTTATTTGGTTGTTCTTTGTGGGACCCAGTATGACATGTACTGTCTCCCTGCAGGCTTAGGAATCCCAGTGACAAGTCAAATGTTAAAAATAATAGCTGTGCCTTACAGTTCATGGTGAGAAATGAACAAAACTGACATAATTTTCCTCTAAGAGAAAATGAAGTTCTGCAAGCCGCTCTTGGATCATATCTATTGCTCCCATTGATTCCAAGTTGGCTTGACTCAGTTCTATATTTAACTAACTCCCTTACAGTCAGTCTCTCAGCTTTCTGTTGTTTGGTTGTTGTTTTTTTTTTTTAATCCATCAGATTTTATTTGGATATAAATGACAACACGTACTTGGCATCATAAAAGTAGGATGGCTGACTACAATTTAAGAGCAGCAGGAGGGACTACTGTACAGCTGTTTTCACTGCTTCTGCAGTTTCAATCCCTTAATATAAAACCCCAAGCTTTCTTATGAAATGAACCTATGCACTGCCTCGTGCAACTCTTCACTTTTCACAAAACAAAAGTGTTATTCTGAATATTCTGGTTCTTTGGGCAAAAGACTTTGTTAGCTCTTTATATTTCCTTTAGGTGAGCTGTTAATATAAATTACCATCCAATTTCACGCTGGTTGAATGCCACAAGGGATTTGGTAGGTCAGATTTACTTTGGTGTACTAGGCAGAATGCGTAATTATGATATTTGCTTGATATTTGACGGTTCAGTTTTATTCCTTTTAATTATAGCTTCTTAATCATTACATGTTTGTTGGGCTTTTTTTTTTATAAAGTCAGCTATATGACTACTCATGGGAGCATTTATACTCAGTGCACTGTTTTCTGCTGTTTTGTTGAACAAAAGAGACTTTGAATTTCACCTTAGATTGTAGTAATTTGCAAAGTTGTACATGTATATTGCCTTCTCAGTGTTTACATGAGAAGAAATTACAGGATATTAAGCTTTAGGTTTCTTGTTGAAATTTAGCCCTGGTCAAAAAGTCCTATCTGAAATCTCTCAGATGTCCCCTTGAAGTAAATTTGTTGAGACCAGTCCAGTCTTGGAAGATACTCTTCCATATTTGAAAAGCTGGTATTAGTTGTATGTGTTTTAGCAGTTTCCATAGGGTATGGCATATACGTTTCAGAAGTAGCTTTTGTTGGATGCTCTGAGTTTGAGAAATCTAAATTCTAAAAGTTTTTAAAAGTAAGTTGGCCAGGCTCTGCTCCAAAGGACTTGCAATTTGTAAGTTTTAATAGACCTGAATTTGTTCTTACAAGCTGTCATGACCACTGAGAGAAACTGAGAATCCCTACGAGCTCAGAAACTAAGATAAATGTTTTTAAGTGTAGAAGAATCATCATAGAATTGAAAAGAAGTGAGGTTTGTGAGCTCCAGTTTGTGTTCAAACTATGGCAGCAATTTGGATTTTCTTGGGAGACCTGAAGACACCAAAGAGTCTGCTGAAGTTTTTTTAATAAACAATCAACATAACTTTGTTATTTTTCACAATGATTTTTGCTAGCAAAAATGTGGTCTTAACATGAAGGGTGCAGCCTGAAGTATTGTTAGTGTTGTAATAATAAAAAAATAGATCTCTAGACAATAGATTAGAAAATATAACTTTCATGCATAACCATTCATGTGTAAAGGCCATTCTCAAAGGCTTTAGCTGTGGTGTGAGGTAAGTTTAAAAGAAAAAAATGGGGGGGCGGTGGGCGGCATGCATTGTATTTTGCAGATGTTTCAATCCTCAACTATCTGAGGAACCAATAATTTCCAGCTTTCTGCTGTTTTGACTATTCTGTGAAATTTGGAACAATCCTGCAAACAATGCAAATTCAACAGAAAGGCCACTGCATTCTAAATTTAATATTCTCTTATGGATGACCTTTAAAGGTCCCTTCCAACCCAAAACATTCTAAGGTTCTATGATAGTCGCTGACTATAAAGATTCTAATCACTTTCTATATGAAAGATGATGCCCTCTTGAAGTTCACTGTCTTAATTGTTATTCCACTTTCTCAAAATCAGTATGTTATTCAAAGCGACAGGCTTGTAGGGACGGTAATGTTAAATCTGTCATCTTAACTACTTCTACTTTGTTTTCTGAAGTATAGTAACAGTACATATGTGCCATATAAGTACAGTAAATACAGTACTTCATTGAGTCATTTTGCTTTTTCTTTCCCCCAGACCTTCAATGACTTTGAGATAGAACAACATCAAGAATGTGCATATGACCACTTGGAAGTGTTTGATGGTGAAAATGAAAAATCACCAATTCTGGGACGCTTATGTGGCAATAAGATACCAGAGCCTCTTATTGCTACTGGAAACAAAATGTTTCTCCGTTTTATTTCTGATGCATCAGTTCAAAGAAAAGGCTTCCAAGCAACACACTCTACAGGTCAGAAAATCAGGATGTGCTTTACTAATAACTTCCCCTTTGTTCTTTAGTGGAAGATATTCAGGCATTTCTTTTATAGGAATGGGATGGTTAACAGATAAAACAATGTTAGAACTAAATCTAATTAAAACTTTGGAACAGTAGGAAAAGTCTGAGATTGCAGAAAGTAGTCTCTAATATTTTAGACCTTTCTTTCTCCTTCCCTCTCTCTCAGGTAAGCGATGAAAAGATTTTGAAACGAAGTCCGATAAGAAGATATTGGCATAGACGATCAAAGAGATATTTCTTAGGATTCATGCCATTAGTTTGTAAAAGATTCAGTAGATTTTTATTGTGTTTGTAATGGCAATATTTCACTGGGGTATGTGATGCACCTCTACTACTTTCCTGTTCTAACTTAAACAAAAGTCTGAGTTTTGTGTAAACAGCGATTACTTTCCTGTAAGAGAGCTGAAAATACAAGCCAAAGAAGAGAAACAATACTGAAGACTTTCTTAGGACTTTAAGAGTATAAACGCCTTCATATTTACCATTTAATTTTGTTCTTTGGCAGAAATCACTGAAATTGAAAATAGTATTTTGCGGTTGCAGTAACAGATACTTTGTGACATTTTCATAGTGTGTACGTTATTTTCCCGACGTTGCTTGGCTTACAGTGGCCCCTAGTGCTGAATCTCTGAACTTCCAGTGCCTGCTGTAAGACGCGGAGTTTCGAGGATATTTTTTTTTTTCTTTGTTTTCTTCTTCAGCTGTAATGTTTGTCTTTACTTTCCAAAGTTCGTTCTTATTCATCCAGTATTTGTCAATAAATATTAATGCAGAAAATATTTATAAATATCTGTGCTAGTAGATAAGGTTTACAGACATGTAGCAGTTCTTAATAGAAGAAAGGAGTCAAGGTCACTGTTAATATTATTTGATATTACCTAGAATATTTGTCAAGTTGATGTTCAGTGTTAGTATTTTATCTTTTTTTCCCTTCTGCTTTGTTAACAATAGTTCTAAAACTTTATTAATTTAATTTCCCTTTCAGAGAAAGACTGTAGGCAACAGTACATGAACTGTTCACTCTTCATGATCTGGGTCTGGAAAGAGAAAATTTTAGCTACCTGTAATTCAATTTGTTTTTTTTTTTTTTTTTGTGGAAAATCCTTTTTTACAAGCGTACCATTTTTTGCCTTCCCTACCGCAGTAACCCCTTCCCTTAGATGGAAAATTAGATAGAAATGGTAATAATTACTCATTTTTAAATTACCTCGGGGTAAATAGTTAAAGGTCAGAACTCTTGTTAGAAACAGGTGTCATAAAACTACTGTCTCATTTATTCCTCTCATTTTGCAAATTGGAGCACTTGCTATGTGAAAGAAATTAAAATGTATACACCCTAACTTCTAAAGATTGCTAGCTATGTTATGGCTTGCTGGATTTTTTCATAACTGCTGAGTTTTATGTGCCTTAACTGTAAAGACTTTCTTAGCATGTATAATAGTGCTTTTCTGAGAAAGTCTGAAGAATAAAATCTGCTCAGTTTTTAAGAATGTTGTAAAAACTATAGTTTACCTCCTTAAGAGAAGACATTTATTTCTGTCAACTGCTGTTGCACAAACTTTTGACTAAGCTGAATAGCATGTCACCAGCATGTATTTGAATGGGAAACAACTCAGATCTTGGAGCTTTTTCATGCAGTCTTGAACCAAACATAGATGCTCTGTGGGAGTTTCACCTCTGTGCTTGGGACACACATGTGAATGAATAGATATCTAACAAGGATATAGACAGTGGATTGTGTTTCCTTATTTTATTTTTTCTAACAAATAATAATTATTCAATGGAAGTAGGCAAGGTTGCACTCAGTGCTGCATAGCTGTGCAGACAAACAGGGAGAGCTGAGGAAGCTGCTTCCTTCACTTCTGACCTGTTGGCAGAACTCACTCAGTAGAAGGACTTGTGTAATATAGCAGCAGTGAAAAAGTAACTGGATGCCCTGCCCAAAGGTGTCTGTGCTGCTACATTCCTGGCATCTCCATGATTTAATGGCCTCTTATTCTAGTAGATCCTGAGATGATGTTGATTTCCCTTCTGTGAAACTTTTTTGCTTGAAATACTATCCAAATTCCAAATTTTCATTGAATATTTCAAAAAATAGGATAAAACTGTAGCAGAAGAGGCAGAAAAGTTTCAAAAAATAGATCGGATAGAAAGGCTTTCCTGGGTGAAGCAAAACTTATGAAATGCTGGTTTTAAAGCACAACACAGTTTTAGAAAGAGATTCTGTTACATTTTCCACTCTCAGAAAAGGCATAATGCATCCAGAAGACATTTTTAAAAGTGCTCCTGACAGAACATTAAACATGATTGCTCAGGGAGTGATTTGGTTGCCCTAACACAGGCATCTAGTTCCCTTCTGGATGGCCTCATTTATGATGCATGGCCTCCCCCAGCCGCTGTGGCAGGAGGCTGCAGGTCTGCTGGAGGTCCTGTTTCTGTCTGTGAACCCTGGGAGGATGTCTCTAACAAATTTGGGCATCTCAGATGTCACTCAGTTTACGATCCTGTGTCGCTTCCCAAATTACTGTAATTAAAGGTGGCAATGCTGAATCAAATTTATGATCTTGTTTCACTAATTCAGGTAGTGTAGGTTTAAGCTTTTCCCATCTGTCCAGCTTGTTAAACAGTCAAGAGACTACTGCTTGATTTGGTCTTATGTTTGCAAGAAGCCTAAAAGTCCCTAGAAAGGGGGGTTTTGTTCCTTACCTGATCTAGAAAAAAGTCTTTCACCTAAAGCTGTCAGAACAACGGCACTTTACAAGTTAGACTTATTTCTTTACTGTCAGATGTGTATGTCATACCTACAGCAGAGCAGACAGACCTGCGCAGTGGAGAGCACAATGGGTGGTGCAGCTAGGTTAGTTCTGGTACCAAGGCTAAGCGAGCGGTGCTGTGTGGCACTGTTCTGTTCTGTGCAGACCCATCACAGACTATCTGACACGTCCTAAGGCAGTGCCACATTGTGCAGGCTGGATGTAGACTACATCTTAGTAACTGATGAAATTTAGTAACTTAGAAACTACAAACTACTCCTTAAGAAATTGAAAATTTGACTTGCAATTTCTAAAATCAAGACTTTATCCTAAAATGTAAGGCTATATTCTGTGGAAGAAGGGCAGGAGAATGGTAATTGCGATTTTCTGCAGTTGTTGGTATGGCTACAACTTTCCTTTAAGCTCCTGTCCACTGTAGCAAGCAGAGGGAAAAAATGCAGACAGTTCATTAAACACTTTCCTTCTTAGCAGCTGTTCCATGTCTGAGGCAAGGAGATGTACTTAATGCTGGCAACAGTCCAGTCAAAAAAAAAAAAATAGTAGTACATAAAATCAAGAATAGTAAAAAAAAAAAGGGAAAATCAATATATTAGAATACCAATGAGAAATAACTGTTTGAGCTATCTCATTTGACACATTTTCTTTATCACGTGCTCCTATCTTTAAAAGCAAAAAAAATTTTGAAATTTCAGATTGAACAACAGACCATGCATAATGGATTACTCTACTTACATAATTTGTATTTCCTGGTTTGAGTCCTTCATTTCCTTATTAAGAAAAAATACACACTTTTTAAAAAATATGGATTTGCTCATTGCTGTCATTAATTCCCAGCTGAAATAGACTCCTCACGATATAACATTGCAATTGGTCGTGTTTAGTGTGGGCGGGGTCCATGACACTGAAGTCAAATTCAAAATATGTCTTCACCAAAGCTTAGAAATGTTTGAATTTTGCAATTTGTTTCAGATTGTTATAAAATGATCAATTTATAATATCTACATGTGATCAAAATGCAGATAATTTATCAGTTCGTTTCTTTATAAAAATTGAATCTAAACTTGTGAAATTCAGGTTTTTGTTCAAGCTAATTTGCACTTGGTGTTTTTGTGGGTGCTGTAAGGAGTGGTTTGTTCTTGATGGGAAACCAAAACTGAATTATGCTGTTTTCGTTGAAATCTTTGTACCTGTAGAGTAAAAAATCCTCCACCCATGTCTTGGAAGCATAATCAAAAATGTGGGTTTTTTTCTTTAAGTACAATTTTCCATCTGTTGTTGGTTGCATTGTAATAGCACTTTTAACTGGCAAATGCATAATGCCTATATATTTAAGTTACTGTAGAAGCTGAATTCACTGGCTATTTAGGATAGAATATAAGTTTTAATTATAGTTCCTGGAAATATTTAGAAGAGGTGAAGTACTAGCTACTGGTTTTGGGGGGGGTGTTTGTGGGGTGTTTTTTTTTTTGTTTCAAAGCATTTTCAGCAATTTCTTTTCTACAGCAAACTGGCTAAAGAACAGCTTATTTGACTATAGAGTGAAGTTGATTCATATTTAAATTATGAAATTTTTGAGCAGTTATTAACAAACTCTAAAGCCCTACATACATTTTGCTACTGTGTACAAATAGAGATTTATACTGAAATAATGGCTTTGCCATAAGGCAAGGATCTCCTGCTCAACACTTGCCTCAAGAGCAGGCTTTCAGCTACAAGACTTTCTCTGGTAGTAGCAACTTTCTCCCAGCCACTCTCTTTTGCAAGGACCTGTTCATGTCCATGAACTACACAGCAAACAAGCTAGAGAGCTTGGCAGTGGCGTTCACTGTTGAGCTGGCTCTCCAGGCACTGCATGGTTAAAGCTAACATTCCTATGAAACAAAAGACACTTGCACTTGATCACTCGATCCTCCCCTGCCACTTGCAAATGGTGTCGTTAACCCATGTTGAAACACTGTCACCACTGAAATGTGAATTCCCCGCTTACAGCACTTGCCTTGCTGGCACATCTCAAGTGCCTTCCCAAAGAACTTCCTACCGCTTGAACAACGTTCCTTATAACTTTAGTGTTCCTTGTCTCTTTGTCTTTCACTTGAAAATTATGAAATATGCTCAACTCTTTGTAGTTATATTATTTATATGGGAAAAACTCAGAATGATGGATTTGTAATCATACTGGATAGTACTTCACTCTACACCTTGTTTGATTGACCTGCTTGTTGCAAAAAAAAAAAATGCACTCAGCCTGAATAAAGCTGAGCATCTGTGAAAAGAAAATGCTAATTTACACTGAATAAGCTTCTTCGTCCTTCCCCCCCCTCCCCCCCATTTAGAGTGTGGTGGTCGACTGAAAGCTGAAGCCAAGCCCAGAGATCTGTACTCGCATGCTCAGTTTGGTGACAACAACTATCCGGTTCAGGCGGACTGCGACTGGCTCCTGGTGGCAGACCGTGGCTATAGAGTTGAGTTAATGTTTCAGACTTTCGAGGTTGAAGAAGAGGCAGATTGTGGTTACGATTACATGGAGCTTTTTGATGGTCATGATAAGACAGCTGTGAGACTTGGTCGATTTTGTGGATCTGGGGTAAGTAACCAGGTACTAAACTTTCTATTTCCACAACAAAAAGAATGAGAAACACAGGGCAGAGGAAGAAAAGGGTCAAGAAGGGATGAGGTTCTGTTAGTACACCTTATAATAAAGATACTAGATATATTTTTTTTTAATATAAATTTGAAGGCTTGTAGTACAAGTATTCCCTTGAAATATTTTCGACAATAGTCTTATGTAGTTTTTGACCAAAGTATTGTAATGTTATGTTAAGCTTTAGGTAGCTGACAGTGAAGTGTTTATAAGCATCCAGAAAAAAAGTTAGCAGCTTTTTCCCTTACAGAGAGAGAAATGCACCAATGTTGAAAATTATCACTCTAAATTTCTTTCAAATTGAATGAAGAAGCCACATTTTACAGGGGGGAGGGGTGCTTGAGAGGCATTTATAATATGCTCATCTACTAGTTAAATCTGATTTCAGGAAAATATTGCTCCTAAAGTATGTGACTAATATGGACCTTGAGAAAGCCTGACCGATATGCATCTCTGACATGTTTTGACTGTGAGGCTTGGAGGAAATTGGCCAGGTGACGTCCTGAAAAGGATGTGTCCTATTTCTTCTTTTAGACTTGCATGGTTCTGTTGGCTGCCTGCCTTGTGAAAGCTGGTGCAAAGATCCTACAAGTCCTCATCAATTCTTTATGTATGTGCAAGTGCAAGTGCATTTTCATACATACACCTAGATAAAAGACAAAAGATTGAGACTCTACATGAGATGATAGGAGCTCTTAATTAATCATCGGTCACTTTTTTGATTCAGCCACAGTGCTGAGTCAAACATCTGTCATTCGGATGAATTACCTGTAAGCTGACTTAAATCCTTTTAGGGCATTTTTGGAACACTTAAAGATGCAGGAAAGGTGCTACCACTGAACTGTAAGCATTATATTCTAGGGGAAATGCTACAACTGAACCCACCATCCACTAATTTAAACAAAACAATACTTTTCTGTGCAAGTTGCCATGTTTTACAATTAGGAGGGGAGCAAACTGCAGAATGCTTCAGCCTTGGGATGAAATTATTTTGGGGGGGACTGGGGGGTGGTGGTGGGGTGGTCGCGGTTTGTTGTTGGTTTGGTTTGGTTCAGTTCTGGTAAGATATGGATGAATGGCTTCAGAGGCCACATAGGAGAGACAGAATTAAATAGAAAAGTTATTGAAAGCAAATTAATCCAAACTGAAGTGGGAAAAGGGACTATTAGTATATCTTACCACCTTCTTAACCTCAGGAAAAGGACTTGGTAGTTTAGCTGGTAATAAAACAGGCCATCTATGAGGGCTATGAAGAGTAAGGTGGAAAACAGGTACTGGAGTCTGTTGTTTATCTAAATTTTTGAGTATTGTGTATGGTCCTGACGGTCACTTACATGACTCCAACAGAATTATAGAAGACATCTGGGAAGGACAAAAGAACAAGGAACTTTGTTTTCTTTGTCTCATAAGAAAAGATTGCAGGGATACTCCATACAATTTGGAGAAGTTAAATCAGATTCAGAAAGTTTGATGCCACATTTATGTAGCTTGTGCGAAAAGATGCTTTTCAGGCTGAGAGCTCAAGATTGAAAGAGTGCACATTAATACAAAAGCAAAAAGTTATAGTAGATAATTTTAAAACTTCTTCCAGCAGATAAAAAAAAAAAAATCAGACATCACTAGTTAAGCTGACCTTCAGCTTTTAGGAGTTTAGGTTGTCATTTCCTCAGTCTGGCTTAAAATTTCCTCGCCTGTGGTTGCGAGCTGAATGAGATAGAAGTATTCTGCCTGATGATGTTAGATGACACTGTGTGAGACCCAGTGGAATTACATGACAAGGCATAACAGGAATAGAGAAATATCCATGATAAAAAAGTGTGAATAAAGGGGATAAATACACAGAGTGGACAGATAATTTATTTTTTATTCAT